GTTGTGTTGTTATGGATTTATTTCTCACCTTGTAGAATTTGAAGATGTGGAGAGACAAGTGGTACTACTTGGTTTACATAGTCATTGTCTTGATTGAATGATTAAATTTATTAACACAAGACTGGGTCAATAGTTAAGACAGGTAATCAATGTCTTTTTCTTGATAGGTGATTCCCTCTGTGCCTAAGGATACAATAATAAGGACTTTACAGAAAAAAAGTATCCCATGATTTGGAAACTGGCATAGCTACAAGTCATGTTTCTGAGAAAGATGGGGATAGCCCTACATTTCCAGATGCATCTACATTATAATGATTGACCAGAACCATTTTAGTAGGGCTTTTATCCAGATGATGATACCAAGTCTTTATTTGTGTCTTGGTGGATGATCCACTCAGAATATTGGGAAGAGTGAAGCTTTGCTGGTTCTCTTGGAGGTCTTGGCAACTTTTAATAGCATTGACTATGATATCTTCCTGGACAGCCTGACAGGATTGGGAATTTGGCTTTTCCTTGTACTTCCTCTGGTCCTTTCAGTTATATGTATCTAGAAAATATGTGCAGCTACAGTTTGATGGTTAGGCTACTGAACACCTACAGGCAAACCAAATCATTACTAAAAGCCAACACGGGTTTGTCAAAAATAGATCATGCCAGACAAACCTTATTGCATTCTTTGACCAAGTGACAAAATTAATGGACCAGAGGAATGCTGTGGATATAATTTACTTGGACTTCATTAAGGCATTTGACAAAGTAGACCACAACCTACTACTTGATAAGATAGAAAAATGCGGGTTAGACAGCATCACCACCAGATGGATCTGTAGCTGGCTGACTGGCTGTACTCAGCATGTGGTCCTCAATAGAACAACATCTACATGGAGGGAAGTGTGTAGTGGGGTGCCCCAGGGCTCTGTTCTGGGCCCAGTGCTCTTCAACATCTTCATCAATGATTTGGACGAGGGGATAGATGGGGAAATCATCAAATTTGCAGATGACATCAAGCTGGCAGGAATAGCCAACACTCCAGAAGACAGGCTTAATATACAGGAGGACCTGGACAGACTTGAACACTGGGCGCTATCTAACAAAATGAAATTCAATGGTGAAAAAAGTAAGGTTCTACATTTAAGCAAAAAAACCCCAAATGTATAGGTATAATATAGGGAGTACCTTGCTCAATAGTAGTAACTGTGAGAGGGATCTCGGAGTCCTAGTGGACAATCATTTAAATATGAGCCAGCAGTGTGCTGCAGCTGCCAAAAAAGCTAACACAATTCTAGGCTCATTAACAGAGGGATAGAACCAAGATCACGTGGAGTATTAATACCACTCTACAATGCCTTGGTAAGGCCACACTTGAAATACTGCATCCAGTTTTGGTCACCACGATGTAAAAAAGATGTTGAGACTCTAGAAAGAGTACAGAGAAGAGCAACAAAGATAATTAGGGGACTGGAGGTTAAAATATATAAGGAAAGGTTGATGGAATTGGGTATGTCTAGTTTAATGAAGAGAAGGATGAGGGGGGACATGATAGCAGTGTTCCAATATCTCAGGGGCTGCCACAGAGAAGATGGAGTCAAGCTATTTTCTAAAGTGCCTGAAAGCAGGACAAGAAGCAGTGGATGGAAACTAATCAAGGAGAGAAGCAACCTAGAACTAAAGAGAAACTTCCTGACAGTTAGAACAATTAACCAGTGGAACAACCTGACTCCAGAAGCAGTGAATGCTCCAACACTGGAAATTTTTAAGAAGAAACTGGACAGCCATTTATCCAAAATGGTATAGGGTTTCCTGCCTGAGCAGGGGGTTGAACTAGATGACCTCCAAGGTCCCTTCCAACTCTATTACTACTACTACTACTACTACTACTACTACTACTACTACTACTACTACTATTATTATTATTATTATTATTATTATTATTATTTTGTTCTACAGATTTCTATCTTGTCCAGCCTAGATTGCTGGGAGAAGTCATTCAGTAGTTAAAATGAAGTGTATCAATATGCTGGTGACATCCAGCTTTACTGTTTCTTACCATATGATTCCAAAGAAGGAATCTGTACCTTTGATAATGATTCAGATGATAAAGCACTATCTGAAATTACATACAGGTAATCAGCATCCATGCTTCTTTGAGCAGAAGATTGAGATTAAAAAATGGGATAACTATAAGTATATATGTCAAACATGTGTGTCTGTGTTTAAATTAGAACAAACATGTTTTATTTTCTTTTAATATGATTTATTGCAGCTAGTCCTCAATTTATAATAGACACACAAACACACCCCTCCCACAAAAAAAAGCTACTTACAACATGTTTCCAAAGTTCCAACAGCTGCAGCCTTCATCATGTAACCACATTTGGGGATCTTGGCAGCTAATGTTTACTTCTGGTTTCCAGCAAAAACACACTATAGTAAACAATGGGTTTGCCCAAGAACTGTGAGCAAACCCATTGTTTAATATAGTGCATTTTTGCTTAAAAATACCAGAATCTGCTGAAAACATATGCTAATCCTTTGTTCCAAGTGACCAATAGAAACAAGTGAAACTTTAGAAATGAATTAACTATTTATGAAGCTATAACCAATCACCAAGAGTCAAAAAACCAGCCCCCCCAAATCACTAATGAATGAATGATAAAATAAATTAAACAATACTTAAACTGGTTGAAGTAATGATTTTTTTCTTGGCCTACTAATATATAGTTTTATTATATGAGTATAAAGAATAGTAGAGAACCAGTTTGGTGTAGTGGTTAAGGCAACAGGCCAGAAACCAGGAGACTATGAGTTGTAGTCCAGTGTTGGACACTTAGCCAGCTGGGTGACCTGGGACCAGACACTTTTTCTCAGCCCTAGAAAGGAGGTAATGGCAGCAAACAGCTTCTGAAAATCCTTGAAAGGCCACAGTTGTGTTGCATAGGCTAAAAAGCATCATGCAGTATTCAAAATGGGCAAACCTGGTTTGGAACATGGTCTTCCATTCACCTCCTTCTTTGATTCTGACCATATTAACAGGTGCTCAAAGATCCAGCTTTCCTTGGGGTCTGATTCAGTTGCAACTTAGGTTGTTCCAGACACTTGGTTGGTCCCTCCAGCAATTCTTCCTGAGATTCTGCATCTCACTGAAGTGTGTAACCCATGAACAAGCACCAAGCTGCTGAATCCACCAGCAACCAGCAAGGCTTGACTATAGCTGTGCCTGTTTAGCAGAGAGAGTATTTAACTTCCCATGGGAAGAATGATATCCTGCTAGAAACAACTCCAGCATCTGGCTTGCCTGTCTTGGTACTTAGAATCTAATTATTTGTAACCCTGGCTTGTTGGCTAACCACAACCTTGTCTCTTCCTTGAATTTGAACTTCACCTTGACTTTGAACTGCTAGATTTTGAAATTTGCCTCACTCAAGTAAGCCTTATCTACAATTAATTGCTGTTTGTTGTTGTCTTGCTGTTGGGATTTGCAGAATGGTATTTTCTTTAACACTTCATGTACTAAGAAATTGTCTGGTTCCTGAAGGGATTTTTGTGGGGGAAAGTCAGGGTGCAAAAGGAATACTACTATCATATTTCCCATCGGTCTTTTCTTTGTTAAATTGAACATACTTAATTTCTTTAGCCATTCTTCATAGACTTTAGCTTTCAGGCTCCTTATCATATTTGTTGCTTTTTTCTGCATTCTTCTAGGACCTCATGTTCTTTTTTGTATTGTGGTGACCAGAATTGGATGCAGTATTCCAAATGTGGCCTCATTAGTGTGGTATGGAGCAATATTGTCACTTCTCTTGATCTTGTCTATGGAGATTCTCAGTCAACCAGGTCATAGTTGTCTCAGAGGTGGTTTTTAAAAAGACTGGACTTTCTTTCTTTTTCCTTGAAGACATTTCATCCTTCAGCTTCTTCAGTTCTCACTGAATGATGTAGAATAAAGAGATTTATATTCCTTGAAGTTATCTGATTGTTAGCACTCTCTCTGAGAGTCACTGATGCTACTTGGAGGTTTATCTGTGTCCTCAGGTTCACCTGATAGTGTAAATGGGTGTGGAACCTTTTTGGAACTTTTGAAAAGATCGTGTTGTAAAGGAGATAAATGGTGTTGCATCCCTCCCCTTCTGTTGAGAGAGGGCTGTTCAATTTTAACAAACATGGTTTCTTTGACCCCTCTTTCAAACCAGCAGTTCTCTCTGTCCAGAATGTAGATTTTTTTTCTCTCTTCATAAGAGGGGAATTTGTCTTTCAAATGTGAATGGATATTATATATACCTGATGAGTTTATTCTCCTATATCAGGGGTGTCAAACTGCCAGCCCACGGGCCAGACATGTCATCGGGAAACCATGCCCACCCCATTGCCAGCAATAAAGAAAAAGCTCCGATATGTTGTGCAACGTCACATGACGTCGTGAGTTTGACATGTCTGTCCTATATTATTCTGCTATGTTGTGCCATATGTTGTGAAGTGATTGTTTTGTTTCTCCAATTTACAGATATGCACAGGTCTCACTGCATTCTCTTGATCTTGTGACTATCCCTCTGTTGATGCAGTTCAAGACTATGTTGGTTTCTTGGTTTTCCTGGTTTTTCTATATTAACTTTCTTGTTTATTTTTTTTCTTGAAAACATTTTGCTTCTTATCCAAAAAGTTAGAAGTTAGAACTGAAGAAGCTTTTGGGATGAGAAGCTAAACATTTTCAAAAGAAAAAAAAAAAAACCAAGAAAGTCCAGTTGCCTTTTGGAAAAAACATCTTTTTGGAAATAATGAGGTATCATTGCTAATGGCTTATTGGATTTCAGTTCAAAAGCTTGGGTTTATGCCCTGGGCTTCCTTGTATATATATCCAATATACACATACACAAAGAGACTTAACAAATTGCATTAATGTACAAGGAAGTCCAGGGCATTTCTTGGAAATCAGCAGGAAATTTGACCTTCACCTTTGTATATTGCCCTATTAATGTTAAACAAAGAGGAACAGTATAAAAGACCTGAATCTGCATCTTATTTTTTTTATTAGAGCTGCCACCATGTCTTCTTCTTTGATTCTTATAGGAGTTCTCTGCATTTTAGGAGCAAATGGTTTTGCTTCTGCAGGGAAAGCAAGGTGAGTTCATTTTATGGAATAGAAATTACATTTGGTAGCATTCATGGCCAATCTTCTCCAAAGTTCTTGATACCATTTTTAATTTCTGGAAGGTAGAAAGTAAGAGAAAACCTGCAAGTAAGAATACCTGCTTCCTACCATTTTCTAAATGCTTTGATTAACTCTAAATGATATTAGCAATCTGATTAATTTTGAACAATATGTCAGCCTTATTGAGCATAATAGAATTCATGTCCATGCGAAAAAATATAAAATCAAATTGTCAGATTATTTTATTAGTATCATGGTACTAAAATGTCTATGGTGTACCATCATTATTTAGCAACCACACAAAACTCATATACACACCCCTCTGATCTTGGGTCATTTTTCATGATTTTTCCTACGTCAGTGGTACAGAGAAAATTCCTGAGAATTCTGTAAAATGCAAATTTACAAACCCATCAAGTTATATATTTAAGCTTCTTTGTATTATATCATATCAGATACAATCTTTCTTGCTTGAATTCTGTTTTAAAACAAGCAAAGAAGCTTACACATAGAAACTGCAAATCAGTTGCAAGGCTCAAACTCTTTTTCCTATGGTCATAGAGTTTTCAGGTTCATATTCCAATAGCGTGCATCTTGAAATTGCATGGTCCAGAGCAAATATTGTCATGCAAACTTTTGTTGTGAGAGCTATAAAAAGTCAGCTTTGCATCTCTATTAAACAAAGTTGTATTGTTCATATATTGTTTCCTTGCAATTTACAAATATTATATAACAAATAGGAACTTACAATATATTAAACCAGAAACATTTCAAATTACTTTAAAATGATTTTATTTTAAGGCTGAAACAGGTACCTAATGCTCCAGAGCCCATTGACTGCTTGTTGACTACTTGGAGTGCTTGGGGGCCATGTAGTCCATGCTCAAAAGAAAGAGTAAGTAGCATTTCCATAATTTAGCTTTCATTAAAGGGATTTCATAAAGGAGATTTATTTGTGAAGTATAGGCTCCTTGGTGAATCATTAGTTTCAAGTAGTAAAAGAAAAGGGTTTCTTGTTTGGAATAACTGGTTATCCACTAATCATAGAGTGTTAAATCTGAATGGATGGTAAGAGATCACTTATTTCAATCCTTTCACAGTGTAAGTGTCCACACTACAATGGCTTCAATAGCTGTAGTAGTGTTCCTTTCTCAACAGCAGCAACTTTAAGATGTGTGGACTTCAATTTCTAGAATTGGAAACCCACACATCTTAAAATTTGCTGAGGTTGAGAAAGAGTTGTAGATGATCATCCAGTGATGGAGTGATAGTTTCTTCTCTGAATAGCTGTGAACCCTGAATTCCTCATCCTTTCCATTTTGGAATACTGCAACACGCTTCCATTTCTTTTACCTTGCATATTTATTTTATTTATTGAGCAACTGCCCATTTCCCTCACAGAGAGACTAAAAACAATATATCAAATTTAAGATTTAAAAAGAGGCGAGGATGATTAAACTTTAATATTAAACATTAATTAAAAGGCAAATGGAGGGCTTTTGGGGGCAGCCTCATTTTCCCCAGCCATTCATTACCTCCACAGCTGGTCAATTCTGAACCTTTTTTAAATTTTGTTTTTAACATCTCCCACAAAGTACCGCTCAAGGAGTATTGTGAAGTTTGGACAGTTTGGAGGAAAGCCATGCACAGCAGCCCTGAGTGATAGAGAGCCCTGTGAGACAAAAACTCTGTGTCCAGATGAGAGAGGTCATTGTGGGAATCAAGAGTTTGAATGTGAAAATGGTAGGTATGGAGACTCTCACATCTTTTCTCTACTGCCATCACTGACTATAGTGGTCTGATGACAAGATGAAGATTTAAAGCCAGATCCCAATGATTTAAAACTCTAGGACAGTGGGCTCCTTTGCAAGGACAGCCTCCAGGATATGTTTCCAGATGGGAAAAATTGCATACTGGTTGATATGTTCTTGTTTGCTTTCTAAACTACAAGAAGAGCAGTATGGCTGTGGAAACATCATTTCTCTACTGCCATCGTTGTCTGGCAAAGAGAACCTCCAGGATCATTTTCCAGAGAGCAAAAATGGCAAACTAGTTTGATGTGTTTTTGTTTGCTTTTTAAAGAAGCTTTCTCCCATCACATTTTTTTTTCAAGCCAGACATATGAAACACAAGGCCCACGGGCCGAATGCGGCCCGCGAAGTGGTTTCATGTGGCCCGCGAAGCCATCCTGGAAACAGTGAGGGAACGGCCCCTGCTGCCTTGCTCCTGGCCCAGGCCGGCAGGGAGCTAATATAAAATTCTGTGGTGGCCATCTGTGTTGAAATGTATTCAGTCTTAGCTCAAGGTCATCTGGAAACAGTGAGGAACCAGCCCCTGCTGCGTCGGCCCCACTACCTGGATGCATGCTGGGGAGGTGTCAACCTTTGTGAGGAATGAAGGAATGCACCATCACCTGGAAGTGGCCAGCAAATGGCCCTGGCCTACTTCACATATTCAGCTTGATGGGCTCCGGGGGAGGGGTTTTGGCAGGCAGTGGGGCGCTCTCCTCACAGCGCCAAGAGACTGAGCCCCCAAAGGCATCCTTGACATGAACGATGTAGAGTTAGCCATGCCCACCCAGTAGGCCACTCCCACCCTGGCCATACCCCCCCGCCCCCCCGAGGGCAACCGCAATGCTAATGCGGCCCTCAATGAAATTGAGTTTGACACCCCTGTTCTAAGCAAACATCCATAGTATAGTATGATGATGAACATTGTGTTTTCTAATGTCATTTTCGCAAGAACATTTTCTTTATGCATGCATTTTTATAAGCCATATTTTGATGGGAGAATCATATTGCACTGTTCAGAGAAATGTTAAATGTCGAAGTATTATGATATTTCCTATTTAAAAAATCTGAAGAAGATCTTGTTCAGTTTGATCACAAACGTGTATTATTTTAATTGCACTATTCTATGACACCTTTTTAATATTTTATAATACAGGTTCAGAAAAAACAGGTTAAGTTAAATTTGCCCTGAAATGCAAATCAAAAAGCCTTGATAAGTTTTTTTCGACAGTGCAGTGATATATAAAAGCATATTATATCATTCAAACAAATATTGTATTATTTTTCCCCTAAGGGAAATTAAATCAATCAGTCATTCTGATATAAATGGCAGTTTGTTTTATTTAGGCTGAAAACCCAGTACATCCAAAAGGCACAATTTGGGAAATTTTATGAAGCTATTCTGCATATCCAATTATCTATAATTATAATGTTTCATTCTTTGTTCCACACTAAGGATATTGTCTAAAGAATAGGTTGGTGTGTAACACAGAAGATGATTGTGGTGATTTTTCTGATGAAGATGGTTGTGATGAAACCAAACGCCCACCCTGTCGGGATCGTGACATTGAGGTATCAGAATTGGGAAGAACAGCTGGCCAAGGGTGAGTTTTAGAAAATTAGAAGAATATGAATTTCTAGTTATTTTTATATATTGCATTTATATATGCTCCTATCTTATAACAAACTCTGGGCATCTCCCTATCAGAAATTAAATCACATTGAAACTATTAAACCAAAATCCATAGAAACAAAAACCAGACACCAGGTCAAGCTTCCGAAGTGCAGAATTGCATGTTGTGCTCTCTGATAAATCTGGATTCAAAATGACTTCCAAGAATGCAAAGCTTCTACAGACCAGTTCTATATGACTTTTTATTAACACACACACACACACACACACACATTATAAAACTAATTTGATTTTAAAAAAGCTACCTGAAATTTTCAAGGCTGGCTTATAATACCAGTAATGTCAAAATAATGAAAAATGATCTTCCTGCAAAGCAAAGTACCAGCTTTCAATATCATCTTAATTTCCTATAATGGCCCTGAACACCAAATGAGTCCTTGCAGCATTTACTTGGCGCATTTGTATGGCTACCTAACTGATATGGTAATGACTTCAGGTGGTATTCATAAAACCAAAGGAAATCCAAATGACAGTTAAAATCAACAAAATCAACAAAAACAAATTCACTAGAACATTAACATACAATCAAGACCCGTTGTACACACTTCATCTCTCAATTGAGGAGCTTTGCATCTTGAAATGTTCCTTGATTTTGCTCTGGCATGTTATTTATCTTCTGCTAAGCATCACTAATGGACAAGACATTTCTATGATGTGAACTTTTTTTTTAAAAAAAAAAAGAACATTAAAATAAAGATCAGCCAGTTTGTAGTGCCACTGATCTTTTATCAATCCCTTGCTGCTAATGAATCTACCATTCTGCTTTCTGGTCTTACGTTTGGACACCATGAAGACTAAAGTTCTTCATTATTTTTTGGCTGCTTCTATGTTGGGGAGAACAGACCTGCCCATTAGAGATTAGAATTTACTGTCTGCTAACTTTGGCATCTTATGGATGTTAGCAAAGCCAGCTTTATTTCTTCTGCTTTGCATGCCAGCTTAGAACAAATTGATCAAGCCTAGATCTTAACAGAAATCTAAATACAAAGTGCACTAAATCAGAGTTCCCCAAAGTTTCCAGCTTTGCGGACCAGCTTGTGGGGGGAGAGGGGATGGCAAATGGAGCTCACCTGTTCATGCAGATGAGGAAGACATGTGCATGCTAGCCGGTCATTTTTGCGAACCAGTTGCAATCTTCTTATAGCCCACTAATGAGCCATGGCTCACAGTTGGGGACCCCTGGACTAAATTCTTTTCTAACTAAATGAAAACCTGTTCCAAATTATCTTGGTCTGCTTTAGAAAGCAGCTTCAGATTAACCCAGTATACCCCTTTAATGAATTCATGTGATAATGTGGATTGTGATCCTTGAAACAGTGTGATCTTATGAGTTCCAGAAAGCATACATTCCCTGTTGTGATATTTGCCTCTGGAATGACATCCCCCTCTGACTTTTGAACTATAATGATACTCAGAAAATCATTAAATACTTGGTTGTTTTCCCAGGCTGTGGAAAAGAGTCATTGTGGAGCCCTCACTAGTTTAGCTTTTTACTGGTCTTTATTGGCCAACTATGATTTTTTTATAAATTTTCTTTGTGTTATTTGTAAGCCATCCAGAGTCATTGAAAAGTAGGATATCTTGACAGCCAAGTTAAATGATTACTAAATAAAATCTACCAGACAATAAGTGTTTAATATTTAAGGTGCAAAAATATTTTTTGCATGGGTGAGAGCCAGTCTGGTCCAGTGGTTAACTAGGAGACTGACTTCTAGTCCCACCATAGGCAAGAAAACTGGCTAAGTAACTTTGGGCTGGTGTCCATGATGCCAGGCTCAGATGATAAGCTGGTTTATCAGTTCCTGTTGCAACCAATGGAACGATACTTTTTTTTCTGAAAAAAACAGCCCCTGCACTTGGAGGAAAATTCTAGGAAGAAAAAAAAATTCTTTAGTATTTTTTGTATATTACTGATTTGTGTTTGTGGTCCCTGCTTGTTATTTCTGATAATATACAAATATATTTAATAGTACAGTGAAATGGTTGTTTGTTAATAACATAACTTTTCTTCCTTCCTTTACTTGAAGTGTGAATATGCTGGGAATGAAACCGGCTCAAAAAGCACTTTACAATGAGTTCTACAATGGCATCTGTGACAGAGTCCGTGATGGGAACACAGCCACTTATTACCGCAAGCCATGGAATGTGGCTGTCCTCAATTATGACGTAAGCTTCTTTGGGTAAAACAGAGTTTTGTTTTTCATCAAAAGGTAAAATCCACTTTGGCTCAGCCTCAACCTCTAAAATGTCAAGGGTATGCCCATATAATTTTCTTGGCCACATTTACATTGCCTTAGATTTTTTTTAAATTGCCTTGTCTAGTTTACACCCCTGGAATTTCTGGTCTCCCATTCAGATAGTCCTCAGTTCTGGTCCTGCTTTGCTTTTTGAGATTAGCCAAGATCAATCAGGTCCTTATGTTGCAGCCGCAAACAAACAGGAAAAAACAAAATACAATGCTGTATAGTTTTGTTTTGTTTTGGGAAGGGGGGGAAACTAGATCAATAGCAAGGTCCCCTTGTTCATATTTGCTAATTCAGATGTTTCATCATTTATGTTGAATATTAACATAATGAACATTTAACAAAATATTTATAACTCATGCCCTTCAGCCATATAGGCGTTACAGCTGATGGGAAATTCCTAGTGTTGTAGTCCCAATGCATATGGTCAGCTGTAACACCTATATGGCTGAAGGGCATGAGTTATAAATATTTTGTTAAATGTTCATTATGTTAATATTCAACATAAATATGTTAACACCATAGAGATAAAAAACAATGGAAAGATACAATTAGTGTTCTGTGTATAGGTATTTTGATTTGTATATAGTAATAAAAGCAAGCAGGTTAGTTCTTTAACAAAAATGTGGAATTTTATCCCTCTTCAGTCATTCACCTGCAGACACAAGGGATCCCCACACTACCTGATTTTGTTATGGTTTAGTCAGAAATTTGAAGAAGAAATAACCCCACATTGGCCTTAGCCTCCCTTTATCAGTCTGTGTAGTATATGAAAGACCAATTCACCACATACTTTTCACCCTTCACAAGTTTTGATGATTTTGATGGCCACAGATATACATTTCAGGCTACGCAGAGCAATCCAAAGGTCCTCTCACTTTGAAATTGGTATGGCAGCATAAGATGATCTCGAAGTGATCATCCAAAAGATATTCCAGGGATGTGGAAGATGTGTCCATCCCAACAGTTCCTGGCATCTCTGCTGAAAGTTCATTGGTTATAGATCCACCACTGAACATAGTCTTTTTCCCTTCTCATGGTCTATTACAGAAGAACCCTTCATTCCCTCAGAAATTGGGATTGATCGCTTACACTCAGGAAACTAACAGGAGGGATTTTAAAAGAGGGAAGCATCCCACACCGTTCACCAGTGGCACTAAAGCAAAATCTGGTTTACTAATTTCTTGTCTGAACTAAGCACATCATGAGTTACCACAGATTGTCATCCTAGCCTGAGTGTTGTCCATCATTACCTAACTGTTACTCAGCTATTTAACTGTATATTTTCTGCCTTTCAAGACAAGAGCAGACAAAAAATTTACAAGTGAATTCTACAGCGACCAAGGAACAACAATGACAAAAATAATCAGTACAGAATCACAATCTCTTGATGTGAGCTGGTCTCTTCAACTGAAATCAACTTCGTTCCCTGCATCCGGTGGTGTTGAGGGAGGTGTAAATTTTGCCAAATCATCAAGTCTGAGTGACTTCTTAGAGAAAACCAAAGGAAAGGTAAGTTGTTAGAAAAATTATAGACAATGAGGCCTATCAGAAAGAATATTTAAAAATAAACACCTGTTCGAATATGGTTAAAGAAATAGAAAAATTTTGGATATGAATTTGATTTTAAGAGGGAAGAGCCCCTCAAGTAACATAGTACTTTCTTTTCCTTCTTTCTTTTTATTTTATTTCTTGATATGAGTAATATAAAAGAGTTGGAATGGCTTATATAAAGGAAATGTTTTAGATATTTAAAGGTGATTGACTTTAAGAAAATTACAGTGGATTAAAAAGTTTTAAATAAGAGTTAAAAGATAGAGGACTAGATTTATTAAATGGAATATTTAAAGATTAAATATATTTTTAATTATGGTAAAAAAGAATGATTTTTTTGGAAATAAATATGTATTAGCTTATAGGAAATAGGGATTTTAAGTAGCATACTATCTTTTTTTATTCTTATTCTTTTTTTTTTTTAGTCTTATTTATTCCTTAAGAAAGGTAAAAGTATTGGGTTGGCTTACATGAGAAAAAATAGACTTAAATATTTAAATGTAATTAACTTTGACAAAATCTTAACCAGTAAGAATGTTTTGAACATTGTGGGGAAAACAAATGTAAACAAGAACTGTAAACAGGATCTATGATGAGACAACCAGAATGACTAGATAGAAAAGGAATATTATATTGATGTGATTATTATCTGTAGAAATATTAGAAAACTTTTATACTCAATTGTCATTCACTAAAAATAACAATTATATTATATCAACTTAAGGTTGGTAAAAAGAGAACATTATGGGAAAAAGAAGAAATCAAGTAAAGTTATTATGTGGATTATAGATTATAGAAATCAACTGTTAGTGAATGTTTCTTAAATGTAAACCCAGACAACACACTGTTTACCGAATATTAAGGTGATTATGTTAAAAAATTAATAAAACATATTTTTTTAAAAAAAATCATAGGTAAATATGCATTATTTCAGAGCAACCAAAACTCAAATGCCAAAGGGAGCAGTGAGCTGTTATAACATTTCTGTTCATTCTTCCCCTCTTTTTCTCAACCTCTGTTGTTGGGTTAGACCAGCAGTATGTCTCCCATTGCAGGGCTTTAGTGCACCTATATCCAAGGTTAGATCAAGGGAATAATCTATCAGAATTGGTTAGCAGCTAGTTCAGTTCATCAGCCCACATGATGGAATACCTGAATTTCAAGAACAGACTTGAACTTCTCCTCCCCTTTTTCTCTTTCTATTTGCTGACTCACATCAGCACAACAGCAACTATATAAAGCTATTAAAAACCATATGCCATCTCAGTAGTGGCTTTCTCTCCTTTGGGAAGTAATCATGATTTTCAAATGCTTTTTACTTGGGGATTTTCAGAATAATAGCTGATGCTAGGCATCAAAGTTCTTGAATGTTAATTCTAGTTAATTACAGGCTTTATTTTATGAAGTAGTGTGGGCTTTTTCAATGATTCTTTAGTTCATTACTTTATTAATAAAGGATAGCAGTACATAATTCCGTAATGTTTCCTGGACCACTCCATGGTAAAACTGTGTGTTTTGTCTGGAAAAACACTTGCTCTTTCCAGGGCCTAGCATCTCCAGTAAAAATGGTCATGGGCATAAGAACTGGACATCCTGCTTAGACAATCACTGTCATGGGTGAGGGACAACCATTAGAATGGTCATTTGAAATTCTTAAAAGTTAGAAATACAGCAGCAAGCAGGATTGTGATTTCCATAAATTTTGCATATTCCAATTTGCACATGCCTATAACTCCTAATTTCTTAGTGATTCGGATGTAAGATACGAGCCTTAAATAACCAGCTACAAAGTGGTATAGAAAAGAGAGGATGTCCAGAATCATTTGCTGAATGTACAGATTATTAAACTGAATTATCTTGAGGACTTCCTGTTTTTCAAATTTATCTAAATCTGACTTTATGGAAGAGATGGAAGAGTTACACCTCCTATGTTTGCACATGCCCACCATATGCTTCCATTATGGGCAAGAATTATCTACAGATTCTTGCATCTCCTGTGATCTACCCATATAAAACAGTTTGCAGTAATTAGAAGACAATGTGAAATAATACCACAATCTTTTACTCAATCTTAGATAACTTATATATTATTGTTTTCTTCTTACAGAGTTATGTATATTTACATGTCAAATCTAATATACAACTGGGAACTTTCCAATTACGAAAACGCAATTTGCGCTTGAGTGAGACATTTTTGGAAGATCTAAAGCTTTTGCCCAGTAGCTATGAGAAGGGAGAGTATTTTACATTTCTGGAAACATATGGAACTCATTATTCACATAGAGGAATCATTGGCGGAAAATATGAACTAATATATGTGTTGGATAACCAAACTATGACAACAAATAGTAAGGACATAATAAAAATAATCTCTTATAACCAAGAGTAAACTCTGGAATAATGGGGAAACTGTCAATCAGGGCATCTGATTTCTGACTATTAACATGTTTTCTTTAAAATTGGGTTCTTCAGAAATCTTAATTTGGATTGGTTCAGGATTACAATTGCATCTGTTATGTTTATATTGAACTATATTGATTAGTTTTCTTGACTTCAGAGGCAAGCAATGGATTCCCTGTATAGGTAGTCCTCAATTTATGACCAGTTTTTGAAATTATGGCTGCTGTGGGGAAAAAAATTGAGTGTATTTGCCCTTAAGATCAATAGCAGGGACACTGCAGCATCTATAACTCCAGAGCTCCAGGGATCCAGAGTTGTGTTGGGAAAGGAGAGCAGCCCACTCCACCACTTGGTACTCTTGGCTCCATCCAGAAAGGTGATGGCATTTTCAGAGCAGCTGCACTGAATTGTGGCAGCTCCTAAAATGGCATCCACTTCCAGGATAGCACATGCGGCCTGCAGGGTTGCAAGGGATTGAACAGCCTACTTTCCTTCCCCACTCCACACTCCAAAGCTCTGGAGATCTACAGCAGATAAGTGATTGGTGAAAGGGGTGGAGGGTGTAAGACCTGGTGGGGTGAGAATTGGAGCAAGACCTGAAGAGACCCTGAGGGATTGAAGTGGAGTACAGGATGCCTCAGGATGGGGGAGGCCTTGGGGGTCTGGGTAGGGAGTAGCTAGAGAGAGTGCCAGGGAGTCTTATTGTAACTTGGCAAACTCCTCATGCAAACCATTTTGTGAAGGCATAGTCAGGCTGAATCTCACACCTTACTGGTATGGTGATTAGAACCAGGTCTCAGCACTATCTAAAATGGATCTTTTGTTAAATCTGTGGTACATGTTTATCATATTTATGTAGCTGCTCATCACACAAGTGATTTTTAGGTTGCTTACAATAAAAATAATCATAAAATCTAAATGGTAAAAACTATAATTAAAAAACCCCATCAGAAACACTATTACTAATAAGAGAGTGGAGAGAATTGATATTAAAAACAATTCAGCTATCTTATCAACTTACTATTGACTTGAAATTTTCAGACTTTCTGATACAGCCATATCTTAAAGGAGCTCCAGAAAGATATCAAGGAATGGGCCAATCATACCTGGTGGGGGGGGGGAAATAATGTTCCACAGGAATGATGCTAAAAGGTCCACCTATTAGGTCTTGCCAGATGAAACTCTTTTGCAGATGAGGCCCACAACATACCTCTTGTGCTACACCTGACAAGACAGGCAGATGTAATTGAGTGGAAGTGGTCCTTCAAACAACCTGGCAATGACAGGCTTTAAAGATCAAAAACAGCACTTTGAATTGGACCCAGAAGCAAACTGATAACAAAGGCAGCTTGCAGAGCAGAGCTGTAATGTGTATCCTTCTAAGGGCACACATAACTTCATATACCACTGTATTTTGCATCCAGATACTTTTCATGTACAGCCCCATGTAGAATGCATTACAATAGTCCATTCAGTTAGTACCATGGAATAAGTGAGGCAAGCCTCCCAGTGAAAGAACAGATGCAATCAACTCACAAAATTAAGCTGTGCTCTTTAAGCAGAAATTGCAAATCTAGGAGGTGCCCCAAGTTCCTCATGTATGCTAGATTAATAGAAAGTCCTCTCCTGTAAAACTGTGAATGGCTCTATTATCTCTTGACCCAGCCAATCAATAACCCACCCAAATCTCCTTATCGAACAATTGAGTTTGGACACTAACTTGGCAAAGTGCTTATTATCCCACTATGATACTAAGCTTGCAAGGAATTTTATTTGAATTCAATAAATTCTTGACATTTTCTGAGCTAAGGACTCACAGTCTTTGAACATCTCTATAAGATAATAAGGAATGGTTCACTGTTTTTCAAGGGGAAATTCCTTTACAGATGAATTCACATCTGCCCAATTCCAGGGATGAGCCAGACTGAAGTGGTCCATGGCTTCTTAAGCATATTTCCCTACATGTATTGTTTTGAAAAAAAAAATAGATGTCCTGATGTCTTAGTCCTTGATCTGTGTCACATTGAGGCAGACATATACATCAGCCTTTCCCCAAAATGGTGGCTTAGAAATGTGATGGTCATAACATAGTTGTGATGGCTCAGTGGTTAAAGATGCTGAGCTTGTCAGCTGGAAACCTGGCAGATGGGTTCAAGACCTGAGCACCACATGCCAGGTTGAGTTCCTGTTACTTGCTCCAGTTCCTGCCAACCTAACAGTTCGAAAGCATACAAATGCGAGTAGATAAATAGGTACAACTTTGGTGGGATGGTAACAGCGTTCTGTGCACCTCCTAGAGTCAGACATGACTGAAAAAGGGAAACCTTTGTCTTTATAATTCTTAGAATTCTTATTCTGTATGGAAATTGTATTCTAAAATATCTGGACAATATCAGATGGCACAGTGGTTTACAACCGGCGATGCTCGCACCCCCTCAAGGTGCAAGATGATATTCTAGGGGATGCAAAAACTTGGGTTTAGAAGTTTCAAAATTATAGTGTATATGCATAACCAGGTATTACTTTTGTGAGGGGTGCAAGAATATATCAGAAGTATTCTAGGGGTGCGGGGTATAGAAAAGGTTGAGGACCACTGAGATAGGGGGGAAAGATGGGGCAAATTACACACTAGAGATAGTCAATCTGAACTTCTGATTTGAGAACCCTTATATCTGAGGTTGGTTCAGATCTCTAGTACAAGCTACTTGTCTACCTGTTGCATGAGGCAGGGAAGAAAGAGAGAGAGAGATAACAAAAATAAAAAATAAAAGGAAGGGACACAAAGTAAAAACATTTCTATTTCTACTATTGGCTATGGTTGCATCCGTTGCTTGCTTCGACATTTCCCACTTGCCACCTCTTTCAATGGGTATAAAATAAGAGTTTCCAACTAACAATGTTTTAATTAAAAGATATAAAAACAACTGCAAAGCATTGGATATATGCTAATTACTTCCCACCTGTAATCATTTTTACTGACTGTATTTTCAGAGGTCACTACAAAAGAAGTAAATGAATGCCTAGGCTTTAATTTAGATATTGGTGCCAATATAATGTTCATAGAAGCCAATACAAAGGTTAAACGTGAAAAATGTAAAAATGAAAAGTTGGAAAATGGTAAGTACCTTAGCTCCTACATTTGTCTGACATTTTTATCCCTAAGTTTACATTTTAATTGGTACGTTGTATCCCTCATACTGGAACTAAAATATATTGTTGGAACATGTCAATTATGTACTCTATAATCACATTAAGTAATGAATAATACTAATATATATATTAATGCCAATATAATTCACTAGCATGCCAATCACTAAATAATGCTATAATATAGTAATATTTATGTCATCTATTTGTGTGCATAGACTTTCATGAAAGACTTGCAAAAAGCAAGCAAAGAAGGCAGAAATTTTTGCTCAGGAAGATTTCAATTGATGCAGTGTATGGAAGTTGACTAGAATGAAGAATGTATCAAAGGGACAATAAGTTATATTTCTCTTGAAGTAATGAGGTAATGGCACTCTTGTGGAGGACCTCCCAAACATGTGAAAAGTGCCAAGGTGGGACTGGCTATGTCTCAGCAGATTGGTCAAGTCTCTTTGGAGGTATAATCACAGAAGAGTCTTGTAGTCTGTGGAAACCCTCATGCAGAACAACCTTCTATATGTGTGTTGTACTTCAAGAGTTATGGAATAAGTCTGCCCAACTAGATTTTGAATTGGGTAGGTGCACATGGATGTGCTACTGGATAAGGGAAGTTTTCAATTTAAAATGTAAACAAGAATGGCAATTGTACATTTGTTTTTAGGTGTTAGTCTCTGAAACAGAACAGTATTTAGAGATACATTCAGTGGTGGGATTCAGCTGGTTCGCACCACTTCGGCAGAACCAGTAGCTAATTTTTTATTGCCCAGGCCCAGAATGGATTTCTGGAATTGGCGTCCACACAGAGAACCAGTTCATATATCTGAATCCCATCCCTGGATACATTTTAGTATCTGCCATTTACATAAAACGAGTGGGATTTCAGTCACACAACTGAAGCTGCCTTCTTGAATTTTTCTCTCTTACATGCATACATATCCTCTCTCTGTGTGCATGTGTGTGTTATTCAACAAAGGCAAATTTGACTTATTCCTCCTCCACATAATCTATTTCCACATAATCTATTTCCATTCTTCATTCTTAATATGTACTTGTGCATTTAAAGGTTTACGGTAGTATAACTATATCCTGAAAAGTAAACTGTTCTTATCTATAGTTTTGTAATCCTTACCTATGCAAAGCATCCATCCACCTCCAATTTGGCCAGTGGGCTTTATATTTCCCATGCTATGTCTTAACTGCATTTTATTTCATTGATGTTGAAAAACTTTAATTCTCATAATCCATCCAGAACACTTTGGTTTCAGAGATGATAAGAAAAATATAGCACACAATAAGCTAGGATTTTCTTTGAGCTTGAGCACAATTCTTGTTGACTACATGAACATGTCATGTTGCCTATGGCATCTTTTTTTTTGTTATTGCTTTCTTCCAGAATTTTTTTTAACTTTCGAAACTAGCACATGACCCTGACATTTCCACATGATCTCTTGATCAAATATGAATCATATCCAACTCCACTTAGCTTTTTCATGAATAGCCAAGGTGAGCTAAGTACTGCCATACATTGTGGTAAGTAGATTAGAATACAACAGAACAGATAGGAATGTTGACTCAAGACAAATCCAATAAATAGAGGAGTGGGATTTGTTTATCTAAATAAAGCATGCTCACTCTTTTTATCCATGGTTTAAAGTTTCAGGTGAGGAAGAATAATAAGATGTACATCATTATCTAACATCAATTATAACACTTAAATATTGGCAGAATTTGGTCTGGCTACCCATGTTTCGTTTTGTTTTGCTTTGTTCGGGCAACTGCCTGAATTAGTCCTGGCAAGGTGTTTTCAGACATGGTTTATAATTGCCTCCTTCCCTGGGCTGAGAGTGTGTGACTGGCTCATAGTTACCCAGGTAGCTTTGTGCCTAACAAGTTTTTAGCCTTCTGCCTTTACTATACTAAACTGGCTGTCCCAAACATAGTTGTGTAGAACATAATTTGGGTGCTTTATTCATAGTTTTAGCATGTTGCTTAGCCTTATTTTGCCTTTGTTTCTGCATTAATCTGGGGAGAATGGCTTCCTAGCTAGCACATTGAGAATTGTTTCAAAAGTGGTTGTTTCACAATCTATGGACGGTGTGCAATGTTCTACACGTAAGTGAACTGCACTCTCTTGCTGCAGTACAGGTAACATTAGCAACCATGAAGCTGGATCTGATTATCCAATCAGGTTAGATGTCATTGTGCATATGTCTGCTCTGTTGCAGAAATTACATGTTGTTGAGTGTTGGTAATGGTAAATTCCTTATGTGTGTGTGGGGGGGGGGAAATACAGATCAACCAGCCATAAAGGAGACCGTGGTCCATTCCTTCCTCAAGAGCCAATTACTAAGATGTCATTGATCACAGTTCTAGACAGGAACAGGGTGAGGGTGGCATCTCCATCTCAGAGGCCTTCAACTGATTAACTAGAACTTGGCAGCAAATTGCCAGATTGGGACAATGTAATCTGAGGTTTTTGTAGGCTCCTACAATAGGACTGTAGGTTTCATTTCCATGAGATGTGGGCTGCCTTAGAATGATAGTAAGGTTGGATTGCAGACAGAATAAAGGCTACTGAAAGGATTTCTAGAAGCATAGACCTGTATATCTCTAGGTCATGAAATAATTGAAGAATGATCAAGTAAGAGCTGAGGTGGCACAGCAATTAGAGTGCAGTACTGCAGGCCACTTTAGCTGACTGTGTTCAGCAGGTCAGCGGTTCAAATCTCACCGGCTCAAGGTTGACTCAGCCTTCCATCCTTCCGGGATAAGTAAAATGAGGACCCAGATTGTTGGGGACAATGTAAATATATATATACATTGCTTACTGGTGTACACCGCTTAGAGAGTGCTTGCACTTAAAGCAGTATATAAGTCAAATAAATAAATAAATAATAAATAAAAGTAAGATGCCTATTCTAATACAATGCTAGGTCATTTAGGCATCTTGGAATTCAGGCAGGAATCCTTGTATTACTCATTGAGTCACTGGGTCACCATACCATGTGAAAGATGACCCTGGCAAATCAATTGCTACCAAGGAATATACAAGTTTAAACTTCCTCAATCTGGACAAATATAGTTGGTAGAAATGTACAGTTACTCCATTTTCAACCATAGTAAACATCATCATTTTCCTTTCTTCAAAATTATAGTGAAAAATAATAATTTTCACTTTTAATCATATCATCTTCATTATAAATACCTTCATTATCCAGGGAAGTTGTTCTGATAAGCTACTCTTCTTCTTTTTTCACCTCCTATTCTTTTCTCCTCCAGGTTCTACTGATGACAAGAGTGGAATTATCCAAGATGTAGTCTCCTTAATTCAAGGTGGGACAACAGCCACTTTAACAAAGTTGAATGAATTGCTTTCTTCAAATGTCAAGGCCGTTGATGTAGAACAGTATGTTGAATGGGCTGCTACACTACCTCAGGCTCCTACAGTGATCAGTCAAGAGGTGAGAGGGTTTTCTTCTATCAATGTTGGAGAGTTTTTTGAATAAATGTGAACCTACAAATGAAAAAGTTTTCTTCTTTCTTGAAGAAATATTTAAAAGTTAAAAGATTTTCAGAATCAAAGATTCCAGTCAAATACAGGTAATCCTCAAATTACAACAGTTCATTTAGTGACCGTTACAACTGCACTGAAAAAATTGACTTATCACTGTTTTTCACACTTATGACCATGGCAGCATCCCATGGTCACATGATCAAAATTCGGACACTAGGTAACTGACTCATATTTATGATGGTTGCAGTGTCCTGACTCATGCGGTTATGTTACCTTCTGACAAATAAAGTTAACGGGGAAGCCAGATTCACTTACTCACTGTGTTACCAACTTAATAACTGCAGTGATCCACTTAATAACTGTGGAAAGAAATGTTGAAAAATGGGGCAAAACTCATTTAACAAATGTCTCATTTAGCAACAGAAAATTTGGGCTCAGTTGTGATCATAAGTCAAGAACTACCTGTAAATCTGTAACTGCCTTCAAATGAAGTTTGAATCTGGTGGTGAAGTGAACATTTCCATGAGGTTTTCTGGCAATGGTTTGCTAACACTTTCTTCCAATTTTTTTTTTTACTTTACATTCTAATTAAAAATCCTGGGAGTTTCTAATGAACTTTCCTTCCTTCCTTCCTTCCTTCCTTCCTTCCTTCCTTCCTTCCTTCCTTCCTTCCTTCCTTCCTTCCTTCCTTCCTTCCTTCCTTCCTTCCTTCCTTCCTTTCCCTTTTAATTGGAGGCGGGCAGGCTCATGCAAGACTTTTGAAATCTCTGTACCTCTACTTTAGTTTTCCCAGCAACCTTTATTTTTATATGCAGCAGCAGCAGCATCAGGTCTGTAGTAAACAAATATTATAAAGTCTGCATCTTTAAGAATCAAAGAATTCTTAAGAGGTGGGTGTAACCATAGCAGAGCATGGATGTTCTCAGGATGCAGTGCTGTATTCTGCACAGAACTGCATAATGACTGAAACTGAAAAAAGTGCACACATACATGTGGTTAAATGTTTTTGCAGTTGTCCCCAATTTCCGAACTTATCCCACTGAATATCCCAGACTCCCGATTAAAGAAAGAAAATCTGAACAGAGCTGCAGAAGATTATGTGGCTGAATACAGCGTATGCAAATGTCGGCCTTGTTTACATGGTGGAACAGCAATGCTGATAGAAGGAAAGTGTGAATGTGCCTGCACTCCATTTTACAAGGGAGAAGCCTGTGAAATACCTGCTTCAACTTTCATACCAGGTTAGAAGTCATTCAGTGATTTACCATATATTTTAATGGCTCTCTTAGCTCTACTGTGTTATTTAAAAATATAAAAAACTTAAAATTGTAAGCAAATAAAATAAGAAGCTATTATATTAAATAAAATCCATAACCCAATAAGTGGCAATCAAATCAAAGCCACCCATACTACCATTTATTCTTAACTGAGTAGAATTGCAACTATGAATACATGTTTATACTGTAGAAGAGTTCAAATGTAATTAAAACAATGTTAGTGTCCATACAGAATTCTGTAAATAAGAATGTATTTTCTCCCACAGATTTATTAAGTCCTCTTATTGTTTTTGACCAGGTTCATGCACTTGACTAAAGTATTTACTGTTTAACCATTGTTTCATGGGAAAAATAAACTCTATTTGTTGATTCGGATTTATGCAATAAGTTAGCCCAAATAGCCAATATAATTAAGATATATTGTGCGACTGTGAGATTCTGAAGGTAGATGGAATTATTTCTGAAGTTCTAAATGTTCTGAAGTTAGACAAATGCTTTCTGATCCTGATCCAGCTGAAACAGCCATTCATGGGAGCTGGAGCTGCTGGTCTAGCTGGTCCACCTGTCAGCAAGGACAACGCCGGCGAACAAGAAAATGTGATAATCCTGTCCCTGGATTTAGGGGCAAGTCATGTCCTGGAGCAAACTTAGAACCAGGCTATTGTTAATTGCAGAAGACTACTAACAGGTTTGTAGCTACTGTATATGTATAATGAATATGGTACAATTGTAACATAAGACTTTGGGACACTTTGGGTTTAACAGTTCTGGAAATAGCTTATGCACTTCCTATGGTGAGATTAAACTAATGAAGGATTTGCTGGTTTAGTCAGAGAGAAGGGAGGGAGGGAGGGAAGTTCAAGACAACAAACATAATGTTCCTCCTCCAAGAGCAACCTTATGGGTTAGATTGGGCTGAGAGAGATTGACTGGCCCAAAGTCACCCACAGAACATGGAACATCTGTATCAAGGGTCAACTTGAACTGGACTCTCCTCAGTTCTAGTTCAACTCCCAAACTGAATGTTTCTCAACCTGGGCAACTTTAACTTGACTTCAACTCACAAATTCTTAGCCAGCATGGGAGTTGAAGCCCACACATTTTAAAGGGTTGAGAAACATTGTACTAGACCACACTGGCTCTTTCATAATAGGCATTAGTATAGAAAATTGCAGGATATTCTCTAAAAAGGGATCCTCTACCACTCTATAGTCTATACCAGGTGTCTTCAAACTTGGCCCTTTTATGACTTGTGGACTTCAACTCCCAGAACTCTTCAGCCAGGCATGCTGGCTGAGGAATTCTGGGAAATGAAGTACACAAGTCATAAAAGGGCCAAGTTTGAAGACACCTGGTCTATACCCTGTAGTTGGCAACAACTACGGCTAGTAAAATCCAGAGGGACTCCTTTACCCTTTTACCAGGTTCTACCTAGCCATTCTCTTTGGATTAAGGCATCCTTTGTATCCTTTTTTTCCCCTCCAGTGTGCCCTTTGTCTTTTCAAAGTGACATTTACTGTTTCAAAGAGAGCTAGGTGTCGATGTGCTTCTACATTTTTTTTTCACTTTTCAGGAGTTACAATTTTGGTTATAGTTGTGACAAAGTGTTTTTATTGATATTTGTTGCAGATGTGGAAGTGGCCTGGTTTCTTTCTTTCTGTACTATCAATACCTATTTAGCAATTTCTTAGCTCTATAGCTATATTATTATTATGGACATGGATTTCCTAGGATTATTCTTAGTTGTTGTAATAAGAAGAGCAACAGCAACACCAGTAGCATATCCTCAAGGTAACTAATTATATAATAGGCCAAACCACAATTCATTTAATCAGAAAGGTCTGATTAAAGAGAAAACACATGGCTCATTTTCTCAAAGCAGAAAGAATGGTGGGCTAAGTGTGACCCCCCCCCAATAAAACATTATTTTGTTTGGAACAACATAGCTGAAAGTTCTCACTTACACTCTTGATAAATCAAACTCAGAATGCAAGAGCAGCCTTAAAAGCATTTTCTTGCTGATATTAATATCCAGACAAATTGGTAAGATCTGGATAAGATAAGCCTGTGGAGTCCTTGTGCTCTTTGAGCTTGATTGTTTGCTTGGTTGTAAACATCATGTTATTTAGTTGGGTAACATAGAAGACATAAGAAGAGAAAATAGAAGACAAAAAATATTTGACTAATAAAAAAATTAGGTGAAGAATTTATTTCAGTGCAAAAATATTAGTTGAGTCATTTTATATATAACAACTTAAAGTCTTAAAACAAAATTATTAATATCAGATTACCATGGCAGGCTTGTTGCAGAAGAGGTGGAACTGAAGGAAATAAAATCAATAATAGTGGGACTTTATGTACTAAATGATGACTAAGTTAATTTTTTTTATGCATCTTATGGATCAGCTATTCAAGGGCTTTACGCATCACAGCAAGCACATATTATTGTTAATGGAGATTTAACCAAGCTGTGTGAAAATCAAAAAGGTACAAGCAAGCATGCCCCATGTCCTCAGTGTTGTTCATTTTAGTTTTGGATAGAAATATTAACCAAGATGAAAAAATAATGGGTGTGAAAATGAAAAATTAAATTTATAAAATGAGAGTGCTTGCTGACAATTTAGTTATATTTTTAAAAGACCCCAAAAGTGGTATTGATGAAGAAGTAAAGTGACTTTGGAGCCTTAATGGATTTCAAAATAAATAAAACAAGAAAATAAAAATTCCTATTAAGAATATGAAGAATATGAAAATGAATATTCAGGATTATGAAATCTTGATAAATAAGTCAGGTTTTTAAGGTGGAGAAAAAGAATCAAACATTTTGGAGTGACACTGACAACTGCAACTCTAATAATTTTGTGCCTGTTTTGAAAGATATTTAAAAAGATCTAAAAATTGCAGTTATCTTTGTTGGGGAGAATCTCTGTAATTGAAATGAATATTTTACCAGTGATGTTCTTTTTATTCCAGACATAATCAATATTGACGATTGATGCTCCACCTAAACAATGGCAAACAGATTTTTCTAAGTTTGTATGGCAAGGAATAAAAACAAGAATTAAAAACAACTTGTTGCAAGATGATAAAAAAAAGAGAAGGTTTGGGTTTACTAGATTAAAATTGTATTTTGATACTTATTGTTTTGTCTGGCTATAAGACTGGGTGATCATTAAAAATAAGAGGTTAATAGAACTGGATGGCATACCTATCTATGGCATGACAAGGGTAAAATAAATGCCAACTTTAGGAATAATTTTGTTAAGTGTTGCCATCCTATGAATTTGGAATAAATATAAAATAAGGCTCTCTCCTAAGATATCTGTTTGGGTGTCACCTCAGGAAGACTTTTTCAGAAAAGAAATTATGGTGAGACTAAAACCATGGATTTATGGTGTAATAATATCTTTTACTCAAGAGTAACCTAACCTCAAGTCAAAAGAATTGAAATCAGAAGGACATGTTTGTCACTGGCTCACAAACTTACAACTGAAAGAAAGATTTAATTTAAACAAGAAACGTTTTGAGTTTGAATCTATAAAAATGAATTTGAAATTGTACTGTGTGCTAATGACAAACATGTTATTGTCAAGGTTTAAAACAAGTTGTTGAAACTGAATCTGGAAAACAAATATATGAAATATTGCATGAATCAATGAGCAAAAAATTATGGGTATAATATAATCCTTGAGGACTGGGAAAATTTGGATGCTTGGTCTTAAATTTACATTGAATTATAATTTGCAAGGAAACTTTTATAAAATGGTATCATTGGTACTTAAAGCCTGACAAATTGTTTAACATGTATAAAGACATTTCAAATGTATGTTTGAAATATTGTTGTAAATAAGAAACTTTTTATCATCTTTGGTATATCTGTGATAAAACAAAGAAGTATCAGGGCCAGATTTATACTTCAATTCAGAAGACTTTTAAAATGAATATAAAATTGAAACCAGAGTCTTTTCTTTATTATATAAGGAGCTTGAAAACAAAATGGAATTTTGCTATTATATATTGACTGCAACAAGAATTTTGTATGTGCCAAGATGGAAAGATACATCAGTCCAGTGATGGGATTCAAATATGTGAACAACTGGTTCTGTATGTGAATGCTACTTCGAGAAGTCCATTCTGGGCCTGGGCCAGAACTCAACAAAAATTTAGCTACCAGTTCTGCCGAACTGGTATGAACCAGCTGAATCCCACCACTGCATCAATCCCCCACAATGGAAGAATGGATGGAAAAAGTTATGGAATTGGCAGAGATGGCAAAATTAACTGTTTAATCATTGAAAAAAATATATCTAGTTTTGTTTCTACTTGGAGACCCCTTCCAGACATTCAGGTTTAGGGTTTTGTTTTTGTTTTTTCAAAAAAGTTTTTATTTTTCAATTATCAATTACATAAACAAAAAAGAAGAAATTTCACATTTGACAAGATAGAATAAATACACTAGATGTCGCTTGCCCACCCCACCCCCCGAAACTGCATCTGCCCTCTCTTATACTCCCTTACTTCCCTCCTCCTTCTCCCTCCCCTCACCTCTCTCTCCCTTCCCCCTCTCCTCTCACCGTCCTACATCCTCCCAAACCTTTCTCCTCCTCTCTCATCCCTCTTTGGATACAGTACCGAAGTTATCTCTCATAAGTTATCCCTTATTATCTTACTTTGATCCTATCATCTAACCTACCTGTCCCCCCACCCCAACTCTCTTCCCTCCCAGTCCCAAAGACCCACCCACCCCGACCTCCCCTCCCCCCCACTTCCCAGAGCTTGGCACAGGGTTTTCAAACATATTAAACAAAATCTACTTAACTTTAACTAATGCAAACTAAATCTAACTAAACCTATCCAACTGTACAAATAACAAAATCAATAGGTTACTCTAACTCAAAAAACAAATTTAAACAAATTAAAGAAAATCAACTATCAAAATCAAATAATGCCAAATTTAAAACAAAAATTGTTCATAATCAAAACAATACTTTTAATCATCTCTACTCTAATCAAAGTTTACCCATTAAATCCCATATTGATTTTAACTTTAACTAATACAAACTAAATCACAATAAGTAAAACGAAAATTATTCATAATCCAAACAATACTTTTAATCATATCTACTCTAATCGTAATTTACCCATTAAATCCCATATTTATTCTTCATATAATTTATCCACCTTCTCCACACCGAGATGTGTATTTCTTTTAAACAATATAAACTTAGCTCTTAACTCTTTCCCCCCCAGACCCAAATAAATTTTGTAATAACCTTTTCTCCCAAATCAAAACCTTACAACATTCTTATCCACTTTTAATATATCATAATATATCATAAGTACTCTCAAATATTAAATCACCAAATTAAAACCTATCAACTATTCTCTCGAGCAGAAATCATAATTTTAAGCTTTTAAACTTTCCCTTAAAGAACAAAAATTTAACTTTATACATTTATTAAAAATTATAGTAAATACTCTCAGATATTAAATCCCTAGATTAAAGCCTATCAAGTCTTCTCCCAGGCAAAGATCATAAATTTAAACTTTCCCCTAAATAACAAAAATTTAACAAAACTCCTTATAACTAGCCGGCTGATATTCCAACTTCTTCCATTATCTATTGCTTAGAAGATGACGAAGGACCTTCTGCTGTTCCATTATTTTACTTCTAAAAACTGCACGAGTCATGCCCAATTTCTTTGATAAATCTTCTGTTGAAGAGGACTACTGCAAAGGTACAACCTGCATATTTTCTTCAATCAGCTGCTCTTCTGGCTTTTCTTCCACCTTTGTCTTACTTCTAAAAGCTCCACAAGTACTCAATTTCATTAATAAATCTTCTGTCAAAAGAGATTGTTGCAAATCTTCTATCAGTTGCTCTTCCAACTTTTCTTCTAATACCTCAGTTCTAAAAGCTGCGCGAGTCATGCCCAATTTCTTTGATGAATCTTCTGTTAAGGAGGACTGCTGCAAAGGTTGAACCTGAATATTTTCTTCAATCAGCTGCTCTTCCAGCTTTTCTTCCACCTTTATTTTACTTCTAAAAGCTCCACAAGTACTCAATTTCATTAATGAATCTTCTGTCAAGAGAGATTGTTGCAAAGGTTTAACCTGCATATCTTCTATCAATTGCTCTTCCAACTTTTCTTCTAATATCTCAGCTGTAGGTAATAAAGAGCCCGCCTTCAAAACAGAAGTATAAAAATCTTTCGCTTTTAAAATTGTATCAAGTCTGTAGCGTGTCCCCGCATAATTCACCACTATTCCAGCCGGTATCTCCCATCTGAAACGAATCTGTCGCCTCCTAAGCTCATCAGCCAGAAAAGCAAAATGCTTTCTCACTTTGAGAATTCTTGAAGGTAGTTCTTTCAGAAGTATAACATCCTGGGCTGCAATTTGAAATCTCTGCTTGTAAAAGGCTTGTAAAATTTTATTACGAAGTGATCTACTAAAAAAATAAATAACCACATCTCGTGGCAGATTCCTCTGTCTTGCAACCCTTGAATTAACCCTAAAAACTTTTTCTGTCTCTCTCAATATTTCTTCAGGCTCGGATTCCAAAATAAGAGCTATATCCTTTGCAACCACTTGTCTCAAATCTTCTTAATTATTTTCCTGCATTCCCCTTATTCTTAAAGCAAACTCCATACTTCTGTATTGTAACATAGTAATTTCATCCTGAATTATTTCCACCTTATTTTCTATTTTATCTTCCAATTTTTCAGAATTTTCTACAGCAACATCAATACGCTGATCCAAATGATCTATGTGATCAGCAAACTTCTGAAGCACAGACGCTATATCTTCTCTCAATTTCCTAAATTTAGTTTCAATAATTTCACCTATCTCTTTTTCAATCCATCGTACACTATCTTCCAAAGCGTCCTGTAAGTCTTTAGGTAAAACTGCTGGTAAAGCTGAGAAAAGTTGTGGAAATTTAGACTCGACTTGCTGAGCTGCCTGCATTACCAAAGAGGAGATTGAGGCTTTAGAAACAAAAGCTCCAAAATGCTTTGAAGCCATCTTTAAAAAAAGAAAAAACTCTTAAAATCTTATAAAACCTTTAACAAAGAGAGAGAGAGAGAAAAGGAGACAAAAGGAGGGGAAAAAAGACAAAAGCCCCCTGTGTATATAAAAAAAAAGAAAAAAAAGCTGTTACATTGTTTCAAATTGAAGTTCCGGTCCTTTCACTCTTAAAAACAACATCTCAGCGCCATTTTTCACCCCTCTCAAATAAGAAAAGAGAGAAGATGAAATCTTTTCCAGAGTTAAAGTCTCAAAATAATCACAGATATAATCTCCCTGGTCAGCTCTATCTGCTTTAAATTTTACTCACAAGTTCATTTTGAAAGCAGATGTGTAAGCAGCGTCTAGCTTTGCCCCCCCCCCCAAAAAAAATAGAGCAAAGGCATCCTGGAATGTGAAGAACACCTCAGATTCCGTGGGAGCTCTCACCCTCCGACCACCAAAGAAAAAAAAAACTTCGGGGTCTCTCAGGGAGCCCTGCCACTATCCGAGGGAAACTCATCTCCTCCCCTTCGCCCAGGGAGAGAGATTCCAAGCCGTGAGATGGCTGTTGCTCGCTGTCTCAGCTGGCTTTGACACATTCCAGGGCGGACGGCTGAAAACAGCCGCCATCGGCGCCACCGTCACAGGAAGTTCCAGGTTTAGGGTTTTGTTGATTAGATTAGTTTGCTGTTATAGAAATGTTTAGTTCTTACTAAATATGCAAGAGTAAAAAATTGAGGTTGTAATCCTTTTTTGTATTTTACTGTGCTGAAAAAAGTTGGAGATTGATGTTTTATTTTCTCTTTCCCTCTGGTCCTATACTTCTCTTTCCTCATTTCCTTACTTCTTTGTTTTCATTTGTATTTTATATTATGGTATTCTGAATAAAAAACTTTTAAAAAGTTAGAACTTCTATCCAAGTTTTGATCAGTATACAATCATTACTAGTTTAATCCTATAACAATTTTTTTAAATCTAAAAATTGAGGTTGATATATTAAGGCATATTTTGGTTACCCCTAAGTTGGCTTCAAAAATTAGTGACTAACCATGATATGCATTAGACTGCACAATATGCCCTATGT